TTTTTTTTTTTTTTTTTGTCTAGAATACCACTGAGGTTGGACTAAAGGGCAGGATTTAACTTTCAACATGTTCACCCCAGTCAATCACTATTCCAAGTTTAATTCTTATTATTCCTTAACAGTCTCTGGCTGTATTTTGTAAGAGTAGTTCACTTTTTTTTTCTGGTATGTGTTAGAAGCAATTCAAACTTCAAATCCTGTTCTCAAACTTTAAAAATAGTACCTGTTATTTTATTCATTAAACTTTGAGCACTGTGTGCTCTATAGAAACTCATTTGTATGTAACCAATGCCTACATTTTAAATTTTTTTGGAGGAGTACTGGAAATCAAACTTAGGGCCCTACACACTTCTCAGGTAGCGCTGCACCACTGAGCTAAATCCATGGCCCCACATCATAAAATTTCTTTCTCTAATTTCTAAAGCTAGAAAAGCATTTTTTTTTTTTTTTTTTGGTCAGGTACTTAACGTGCTCTCCATGTCCATTCTACATACTCTCTCAGAAAGTTTATTTTGACAATCACACATCTAACAATTTCTTCTTTTCCATGAAGATTATCCAGAAATTACATGCCCCACTGCTGGGTCCTTAGAATAACAAAAGAACAACGTAACTTCTTCCAGGACTGGAGAAGTTATTTTTACACAATCTACCCTCCAGGAGGCCACTTCCTGTTCCACAGTTAACATTCACCATTGAATTATTACACAAGCCTCGGCTTGCAAGTGCCAGGCCACACTACAGACCTTTATGTCCCTGCACTGCCTGTGTCCTCCCCCACAGTGAAGACAGGCACCTGCTACCTTTCAATGACAAGCTCTCAGCACATCTCTGCCTGCCTGTTTGAATCTAGGGCACCACGAGGGGAAGTCACCTCCACAGCTTCGAACAGCATCTGAGGACGCCACTTCCTTGACGGTCCTCGCTGGGTGACCACATTTCTTTCTGATGAATGCAGAAAATTCATATCGAAACCAGTGCCAAAAAAAAATATTTATTGTGCCACAAAGATATTGTCCTCTGTACACTGTACTCAAAGTTCCTTACTCTTTTTTTTTTCTTGGCAAGAGCATTACGAAGTCCCTCACAGGACCTTTGTCTATTTTGCAAACTTTGGGCACAGTTAAAGAAATGTATCACCAACAAGCATGCAGGCAGTGTGGTAGATGGAGAGCAGATTGGGTCATGAATCAGCAGGGGTGGGCTGGACAGGCGGCCGGTCACTCCATTTCTCTGGACTTCGCTTCCTCCTCCAAGGTCACCAGTATCCTTTATGGCTTTGTGACCGTCTGGAGGATGGTGATGAACACGGAGTCCATTCTTGTCTCCTTGGGGTTCTCATGAAACCCTATATGCACTTCTGTGAAGCACCTTTTACCATCCGCTTTTTCTCAGAGTCACTTATCCTGGTATCTGTCACCTTCATGAGGTCAGGAAATATCAGAGAAGGGACCAAGTCTTAGTCCCAGAAAATTCAACAATGGCAGCTCTCTCTTTGGTGGGAAAAACAGGTACAAGTTTTCCTTCATCTACATATTTTCTCTCATCTAAGTTTCCTGAACCTGTGGGGTCTAGTTGAAGAGCGTGTCTGACTTAGCATGCTGTATCTAAATTTTTTCAGTGGACTGTATACTTCATGAGGTTCTGTGATGACTGTAATGACTTGTAGCTCCACTGCCTTAGCAATCTGGACCCATAGAAAGGCAAACTCCAGACTCAGAGTCTGCAATCAACAGAACATCCAAAGCTCATACACTGTCTTTTGAAACATGTACATATCTTTCAAGGACACTAAGGTCTTAAAACTTCACTTTCACATACAGAATTTCCAGGCATTTACCAAGTAGACAAAGTTCTGAGTTGATATCACTGTGCTGATGAAATATTGGTATTACTGAAAAAGCGGGACAATGTAGCTGTCTATCAGACTCATACCATTTGCATGAAAAGGCTGAGTTTCTTTGGCTCTTTGTTCATTCAAGTGCATTGAATGCCGATTTGGATAGACCTAGGCATTGTGTTAATCTGTCCATAAAATCTTGTACCGTCCACAGTGATCTGCAAGCTGATTTAGGTTTTGGACTACAACAACTGGCCATTGATAGAAATATACCATATATATACACATGGAAATTACAAAAATACATTTTATTTATAGCTGATTTCTTTTTAAGTAACAAAAACTAACACTATGAAAGATCAACTGGCATACTAAAAGGACACTACCTAATATCCATCCAAACAAGAGACTTGTTTGAGGATTCCATGACACATTCCAGAAAAGGAAAATTGCCCTTGGGAAATAAAAACAGCTGCTTGGAAAAGTCTGTGCTTTGACAGTTTGAATCTCCCATTCTAATCAGTTCCATTCCTATTGTTCTCTCAGCGTTTTAAAATTCCACCTTCTTCTTTCGGGTAAAGACCAAAGAAACTCATGAGACAATGGACAGATGGGCTTGGAAGGGAATGGGAGCTGCTGAAGCGAGATGCATCATGGGTGAAGGCGGCACAGGACCTCACACTCCAACAGACACCGAGCAAGCCCTCCACACCACACGCGCTGCCCGAAGTCAGGAGGGGTTCTGCTTGCGCTCATGGGAGTCAGTGGGTGGCGCCCCAGTCCCGTGGAGGCAGCGTCCTCCACTCAGAGCTTGGCTGGCCAGTTCTCCACACCAAGAAGGGTGACCTGGAGCATCACGGCCACCAGGTAGCAGCCTTGCCATTCTGACCAGTGTCCCCTAGTGTCCATAAATTATGGAACCTTGGCAAAACCCATACATTTAAAAAAGAGGTTATTTACACTTAAACCCAAATCAACAGATTTTCTACATTTGGAAATGTCTATAAACTGAGGCTGCAGCCTGGAATAACCCAGATCCTTAGCTCCCACTTCTAATGGGAATCAGTGACTATTTTCTCTTGTACCCCTTGGCAGAGCAGGCTGGAGATCAGTGTTGAAGAGCCAGCTTTCTTGCAAAAGTCAATGGATCTTTCATCCCTAAGAGAGAAGCTCTGTCTGTTCTCAGGCCACCTTCAGTGCGGGAGAAGGAAAACCCTACAAATACTTCAAATACCTATTTTTCTTTTGTAGGATACTAAAAGTTCTTAGCACCCATTCTCTCTCATTTCAATCCCAACTTGCAGGATACCCTATTTCCAAGAGACGATACCTTTTGAAAAGCTTGTCAACACAAACCTTCCATTCCTGCTCATCTCTCTTTCTTGGCCTTTAATTATGGGCGTGGGGAGGGAGCTTCCGGACTATTTATAGACGCAGCCAGTAGTTCTGATTTTCATCCAATTCATTTGACTTTGAATATGATCCTTTAGAAGCAAAGAGACTCAAGTTTCTTGGCTGGAGTCAGCGGCTGCCGTACAGAGCAGAGATGATTTTAGCGATCAGTCAGAGCTGAATGAGAGAGGGCAGTCTAGGGGGTAAATTCACACTCCTGCGTTGCTTTTAACACACAAAAAAAGAGTTAACATGCAGAGGTCATCAAAGATAGAGCTATGTTTCCCCCTTCCCGGTGATTTAGTCAAAGGTGGCATTGGACAGGAATCTGTAGATTAGCCAGTCCCTCTCTTGACTAAGGCTCCTTGGGGGGAAAACTCCCGGGGTGCAAACATTCACCTCCGCAGAATCTGGAGCGCTCGTCCCAAGCAGGCCCTGTGGTGAGACATGGCCAGGTGTGCAAGCCAAGAACTCGGAGGTTCCTGTGACCCAGAAGCCCCACTGTTCGCCTTTTGGGAAACGGAGGGTGACGACTCACCCGATGTCAGTGTTTCTCACCCCCAAAGCCTGATTCCGCGGAGGCTGGCCGTGCACAGTCCCCCGGCTGACGCGTTAGACCTGGAACTCGAACATGTCCGTCTGCTTCTTGGCCAGCTTGGCCACCTCCTCCCGGATGGCCTTCACGAGGGCCGCGGTGGAGATGTTGGTGAGGGGCGGGTCGGATGGGTCGTTTTCAGTCAGGCTCTGCTGCGACACAGCCGCCGAGGGCATGGGCGCCTGCTCCAGGCTGGGGTGCAGGTTGGCGGGCTGGCTGTACTGGCGCGGGAGCCTGGAGGGCGAGCTCGGCTGATAGCGCGAGCGCGGGTAGGCCTCGATGTACCCCGGCAGGGGCACCTGCACGTGGGAGAAGCGGACGCGAGGGCCGGGTTAGGAGCGGACGGAGACGCGTGAACAGGGGCCTAAGGGCAGGGAGAGCAGGGCCCCAGGGGAAGATGGAAGCTGCGCATCGCATTTGTCCAGATACAAATGTGGAATTAGTCTGCTCAGGAACTGGGAAGAAAAGACCCCCTGAGTGCACGCCAGTTGGATGAATTAAATAGATACTGAAAGCCTGGCTGCAAGCATGAGGAATACGGCCGAGTCCATCTGAACCTACCTGGCTTCCTTAATTTGAGCATGTTCCAGCAAATAGAACTGAGGCCAAGGAGCTCAGGGGAGTTCTTTGTTCTTTTCTTTCCTCTCCCTTCCTCCCTCTTTGCTTCTCTTCTTTTCTCCCTCTCCCCACTTCCTGCGTTCTCTTTTATGGAATGGAGCCTTCACACAGAGCTCTATCCCTGACCCTTCTTTGGTTTTCTATTTGAAACAAAATCTCCTGAAGTCATTAAATTGCATGGGCTAGGCTAGAATTTGGGATCCTCCTGCCTCAGCCTCCCAGAGTGCCAGGATTATGGAAGTGTGCCACTATGCCCAGCCAGGTTGTTGTTGTTGTTGTTTGTATTTTAGGGAAGGCTCTACAGGTTGTTCAGGGTCTCACTACTAGATCAGACTCATAGGGATCTGCCTGTTTACAGCCGCCTCCCAAGTGCTGGGATTACAGGCG